TTATCGGTGTGACTCTGACTCAGTGAAACGACCTGAATGGGTCCACTCGCCGACTTACCTGACGCTCTGTGGTTTCAGGGCTGACGCGGAGACCCTCAACAGCCAGAATGAAGCCGAGCTCCGGCGCCAGTTTGAGGAGCGACAGCAGGAGACGGAGCACGTTTACGAGCTCCTGGAGAATAAGATCCAGCTTCTGCAGGAGGTGAGCGGGCGCCCCGAAGGCCCACGCCTGCGGATCCCTACTGCCTCTTCCCCACCTGCCCTGCCCTCTGCGTTCACCTTTCCGTCCCCGCCTCCCTCCCCAGACTCCTTGCGTGTCCCCGTGCCCTCACGTGTCCCCGTGTCCTCATGTGTCCCTGTGTCTTCGGGCTCCCGCCCGGGCTGAAGACTCTGCAGCCTCTCAGAGTTCCTTCTCCTTGCAGGAGTCCAGGCTAGCGAAGAACGAGGCCCCGTGGATGGCAGCTCTGGCAGAAGCCGAGAAGGAGTGTAACCTGGAGCTCTCGGAGAAGCTGAAGGGCGACACCAAGGGCGGGGCCGATGCAGCGGGAGACAGGGTCAGGCCCGACCCATACACCGAGGCCCTGGCTCAGAGGGACGGGTGGGTGACTTTCACCACTCTGTTTATTACTTGTCTTGTGCTTGATCTCGAGGCTGTGAGAGCATATAGCAGCCCTGCTGTTTGGTCCCCTTTAAGAACTGACAGCGAGTGGACCGTCACCATTTCTAAGAGTTTATGGCTCCTACAACCAAAGAATTCCTTCTCCAAGTTGAGTCTTCAGTGGTTTTCATGAACAGGACGCATTCGTTGGTAACTAGGAGCCTTAAGCAGGTGTAAGGAGAACGGTCGCAAGCGGGAGATGTGGATTCACTGAGTCAGCAAACGTTGATTGAGCATCTGAGACGTGCCGGACACTGGGCCGAGCACAAAGGTCGCGGAGTTGAAAAGACCCGGTTGTCTCATCAAGAAATGTGTTACACGATTTTAATAAGTCCTCCGGTAGAAGTAACATGGGATGCTCTGGGGACGTGGAGGATTGTCACCTAGTCCAAACTAAAGGAGCAGGTTGCCATCGAAAGTTTCCCAGAGGAGTCGAACTCCCAGCTGAGGTTTGAAGAAGGAAGGGAAGTTAGAAGGAAGAGCAGGAAGTGGGTGGAGGAGACAAATGTTCTGCACAGAGGGGGAACGGTGGAGGGGGAGACACAGGGACGGGCGTATTTCAAGACGCACAAATAGGTCCCATAGCTAGAGCAGAGGGTCTGGGGAAGACTAGTGAGAAGCAGGCCGCCTTGGGAATAGGAGTCCGATTGTGCCAGCTTTGTATGCCATAGCCAGGCACTTGAATTTTCTCCTAAAGGTAACTGGGCCGTTGTCGGGGCTGCCATCGTCCGGGTCACTGCAGCCACTTCCTTTTTCCTTTACTTCCGGTTCTACTTCTCTCCATTCCATCCCAATCTAACAATTCGGAGCAGTTTTAAGTGGAGGATCTAACAATATCAAATTGACACATACTTTAGCCTCTTAGATGCATGATACTCTGACGGCACGAAAAGCCTTCGGTGGCTTTTAACTGAATAGGTGAAGATAGCGCCGTGCACGCACATTGACCAGCGTGACTTTTTTGAGACACAGATCCGATCACGTCATGGCAGAGCCGTTTAACAAGCTGTCCAACGTCTTCGGAAGAGAAGCTCCATTCTCCTTAATGTGGCCATCGAAGCCTTTTGTCATCCCATCTCTGATTTCTCCCAGGATCGTCCCCACCATCACACGTCACTGGTGCCAAACCAGTGACAATAACGATGACTGAGGTTCGCTGAGCCCTGACCCTACAGTGGAGCCGAGGACTTTATGTTCCTCCTTAATTCTCTTAACAACCCCACGATCCCGTGAGATAGGGATTATTATACTTTAGAAATGAGGAAACTGGGATTTAGAAAGTTACAAAACACGGTTTCAGGCCTCGCTGGGATCCAAACCCAGAAACCTCACCGCCTCCATATTAAAGCAGAATGCTGTGTCAGGTCTCCAGAATTCTGCTCACTCTCTTCCTTCTGGGGAACACGTCTGTCTTTTTCCCTCCCAGTGAATTCCTTTTCATTCCTTAAACCTCACTGAGGCATCCGTCGTTACTTCTGTGAAGGCTTTTGTGACGGAGAATTAAGTCTATATCGTTGCTTCGTTTTATATACACATCCATCATTGCGCGCCGGTGAACTCCTTTTCATTCCTTAAACCTCACTGAGGCATCCATCGTTACTTCTGTGAAGGCTTTTGTGACAGAATTAAGTCTATATTGTTGCTTCGTTTTATATACACATCCATCATTGCGCGATTCTCAGTGTGGTGTTGTATTTCCTTTCAGATCTCCCTGCTAGGTCCCCTGAGACTTTGTCTCTTTTCCGTATCCCAATAAACCCTTGTTAAACTAAAAAAGGAAGGAAGGAAGGAAGGAAAGAAGGAAGGAAGGAAACACACCTGATGAATAAATTGAGGGAGTTCATATCGGAGGAGCTTGAACAGCTTTGGAAAGTAGGAGAATAGCTCATCCGTAGAGACCGAGGGTCAGAGGAATGAGTGAAGTTTGAGGCTTAACAAAAGTAGAGATGTTCCAGCACAGATACCACAGGGGATTATCAGAATTACCATTACAGCTTACGTTTGTATAACGTCTGTAAGTTTTGAAAGTTCTTTCTCATCCCCGAATCTTCTCTGATCCCCATATCCTAAATGAATTTAGAATTTGCCTACAAGTTTCCTACTTGGCTTTCTGGTACCCCTCACCTGTCTGCCAAACTATTTTCCTCCCAGGGTGCTACCACTATTTTACACACTTAACGGGAATAATCGTCATAATTGGAAACGTTCATCTAGTCCCAGCACTTTTTCCAAGGACAGGTATCCGTAGTACTCTGAAGACTTATAAACAGAAATAGCAAGATATGCCTTCCACAGAGTAGAAGATGCATAACTGTTGGTTGGAACCTGTGGTTTGTATGTATACTTAGCACAGCAGGTGGTCTTTTAACTTCAGCCTGGTCTGAATTTCCAGCCTCTTCTCCAGCCCTCGTCTCTTGCCTTCAGGCTTTCCCCTTCTCCCATTCCAGTGACGCTTCCTCCAAATATATCATATCTTTCTGCCTTCCTTCCTTTGTTCGAGCTCTTCTTTTCTCTTGAACATCCCCCAGACTCCTGCAAGTCAGATGAATCACTTCTTCTTTGTCTGCGTTCCTGTATGTCCATGACAGCACCCAGTGTACTATGTGGTACACGCCTCTGCTAACTGGGCACTTATTACATTCTGTTACTGTTATTTTTTACATTGTTGTGTCTCCCCACTCCCCAGGCTCTTGGCACACACACCAAAAGAATTTAAGTTTCTACAGAATAGAGATCACGTCTTTTCCAACCTTATATCCCCAGTATTTGGTAGAGTGCGTTGAGTATACGTAATGGTTACCCAAGAATTGTTTATTGAGTAGAACAGTAATAACAACCAAATAAAGCACTTCTGGGCCCTTGTTCCAAGAGTTACATACCTATGGTCTGTAGATCCATTTATAGCTTCAGGTAGTCTATGAACCCGTGACAGTGTAAGCCAAAAGTCATTTGTGTAAATGACTTTTTGGGGCTGGAGCAGAGCACACATGGCTTTCTGAAGAAAAGTCTCAAAGAGGTCAGTGACCCAAGAAAGCTAAAAACCTACTCTACTGGACCTGCTATCTTTGGAGCGGTCTGAAAATGGAAGGCAATTATAGCATCATGACCATAATCGTTGTTCTTACTGTTTCTTTGATCTAGACGGATTGAAGAACTGAGTCAGAGCCTGGCCACCCAGGAGAAGCTTGTAGAACAGCTCTCTCAAGAAAAACAACAGTTGCTGCATCTGTTGGAGGGGCCAACTAGCATGGAGGTACAGGTGAGGCTTGGGCTATACTTCCTGAGGCACTTGCTTCATGCGTTTACGAGCCCTATTTTTTAAACATATAAATCTATTAGCTAGCTATCGCCATGTAACAAATTACTACATACTTAATTGCTTAAAACCAAATACATTTATGAGCCCACAGCTTCTGTGGGTCAGAAATCCAGGAATGGCTTATCTGGTTTCTCTGCTCAGGGTCTCACAAGTCTGAAACCAAGGTGTCAGCTGGGCCGCCTTCTCATCTGGGGGCTCATTTAAGAAAGGATCTGCTTCTGAGCTCCCTCGGGTTGTGGGAAGAATACATCTGTGTGGCCGTAGAAGTGATGGCAGCTTGCTTCTTCATGCCCAGCGGTGGAAGGAAAGGGAGGAGGAACGGGAAATGGAGCAGGAGAGAGACTGTTGCTTCTCTCACCTCCGGCTACCTGACTAAGCCAGGCCTACCACTACGCTAGCCCTTTGGCTTAACTTAAAGCCAGCTAAGCAGGGACTTCATGACATCTGCAGCATCCCTTCATTTTTGACATATAACAGCATGATGATGTAGTGATGATCCATCACCTTTGCCGTATTCTATTGGTGAGAAGCGAGTTACAGGCCCTGCCCACGCTCAAGGGGTGGGGATTGTACACAGGTGTGGATACCCGGAAGTGGGAATCATAGGGCCATTAGAATTTCGCCTACCACCCTGAATGATTTATAACTCTGTAGTATGTATAATGTGGTTCTAATATCGAAGAGAGGTCCCTCACTCCAGTGAAAAGAATTGCATTAATCCACATTGTTGCTTTTGGAAGTAACCTCAGAGGGAGCTCCCTCCTCCATCTGACTTTGAATTTACTCAAAAGATACTTTCTAAAGGAACCCTAGCATATATCTGTGACCGAGCAATGTAAGCAATTACTAGGTATTCTTAGAAGTCTTAGACCAGTGACAAAACAAAATATGTGTGGTTTAATCTGTCGGTTCGCATACACAGAGATTGGAGTCAGGATAAAAAGAGCAGTGATGAAAATTCCTTTAAACAGTGCTTCCCAACCTTTCCCTTGTTGGGCACAAGTAGCAAACGGTAGTATTTGCTACTTGTGTCGCGGTCACTTGGAAGTGGCTGGCCAGGCGCTCAGGCCACAACAAGGGCAGAGGGAGTCACTTTCTTGGCCACGCTCGTAAACCTCTCGGACTGTGGCTCCATTTTATTTGGAAAGCTCTGGTTAACAAACTCAGGAAATGATGTATGTACATATAATTTGACAGATAAGGGTAAAAATTAAAGTTCATAGGCTTTTTTTCAAGACGGATATTGAAATACATGAAATGCTCTGGCAGGCTCGTGAAAAGATTCTATAACATTTTGTAATCAGAAAGGAGTTGGCTGGGAATTAGGAGAATTGGATTTCTATCTTGAGTCTTTATTAACTGTATGACTGTATCACTTCTCAGCTTCCATATGTGTAAAACAGGAAAATTGGCCCAAATAATCTCCAATGTTTCCTATAATTCCGATATTCTATTATACTGAGTCTAGCATCATTGGAAAAAGTGTGAAGCCCCCAAGATGAGCACTTTGAAAGACATACTACTCATGTAACTTCTGAAACAAAATCACTCTCGTTACTCCAGCTTTATATGAATAGATACACAAACACAGCTATATTGATGCACACGTATTTCTTTCCATCGGTGTCTTTGGTAAGCACCAAAATGGTTATATGTAATTCAGTCTTTGCAACGCTGGTGAAGGGAATTAGTTTTGTATCAGTTTTCAGAAAAGACTTGAAGAACAGAAAGATGATAATTTCAAAGAAACTAAATTACTTAAATTCCATTCTAAAGGGATGCTTAGAACGGGATAAGTACAACACACACAAGATAATAACACTGTGGGCAGAACAAAGAAATGCATCAATTCACATCAGTTATACTAAACTGATAAGCTTCTTTAATGTTGCCTGGAACCTAAAAAGATCTATTTTCATTTTTATTATTATTACAAAACTCCATACATTTATAGACCTGATTATATTGTGCTGTTCGTTTTAAGACAGTGTTTCTCAAACCTTTTCATGGAAAGTTTATTTTCCATGAAATGGTTTTGTGCCCATGGTACTCTGAAGTAAGTGATCGAGGCTGGTCATGGGTGGAGGTGATCGCCCATGTCCGACTTCGAACATGTCGAGAGCCGAGGGTTGACATCTCGGCACAGTGGTGCGCCACTGCGAGGCACACTGGCTGGAACACCCACGTTGGAAATCTGTGCCATCACGGTCCTCTGACAGAAGATCCTCTCAGATGTGGAGGGAGGACGGAAAGCCTCCCACAGCTCATTTCCTAGTGTCTCTCTTTGGGTCTGTGCCTTATGAAAACAAAAAATGAAGCCCCAAGTACTGGCCAGTGGCCTGGCCACAGGATGCAGCCATCCAGTGCGCATCCAGCTGATCCTTGGAAAACTCCCTTCTTTTCCCAGCGTGTGTTCAGATTCCAAGGGGAAGGAAATGGGCTTGGTCACTGTGCTTCTGTCTTATCCTCTATGGCCTGGACAGAAAAAAATAGCGAAGTGATTTCTGTAACATCTTGGGAACCTTTAGCCATACTCAGGTGGTTCTGACTGACTTATAGAAAGAACAGTGCAGGCAAGTCTAAGTTTAGAGAAAGAATCCTGATCCTTTGATAACTGACTCTAAAATAAAGTCTGGATTTTAACTAGGGGAGCGAAATGAAAGAATGGGAGATTGAGCTCGGGTTTTGGAATTGGAATCCTAATGTCAACGTGTTTCTTACGTATGGCCTTGGACAAGTCACATAACCTCTCTGAGTACGGTTTCCTCCTCTGTAAAACAGGGATAAAAATACCTAATGTTTCGTTGCTCAGTGGAGACATTTTGTAGAAAGCGTATGGCCCTTTGTTAACCAGTTTTTTAAAAAAACAACTGAAATAAAATGAAAGAAGTTTTCATAGCTGCTGAAACAAAAGATCCCAGATATGAGGAGTTGTAGGATAAACAAACAAACAAAAAACTCTAATGTTCAAAAATTATTTGTAAAATTTATTTATTTGTAAAAATTAGTAATAATCTATATGAGGAGTCTAGCATATTCCTTAACACATGGCAACAACTATTGTCACCATCCTCATTAACAACCTGAAGGAGAGGAAGGCTGTTCTTAAGTGAGTGGCAGCTGTGAAGACGCAGTCAGTGAGTCAGATGTGACAGACTTCACTCACACTGTAACTGTCTTTGTCTTCCAAAAGACAAAATCAATGAATACAGCAGTTGCTTATCAGTGAGCTCAATGGTCACAGTTCTCCCTCTGGACTTGTGAGCCTTGTGCGTAGGAAAAACTATTTTACAGAGGAAGACTGAGCTCAAAGCTGTCCATCTGGGTTATGGCGACTCAGGAGTACAATGAAGTCGGGATGGGTCAGGACAAACCGGTCACAGTGATAATTACGTTCCCCTTCAATCTCCTCGACAAAGAGAAACATCAAAGCGTTTTCTAGTACATCCTGGGAACATTCAGTCATACTCAAATAGTTCACATTATTATAATATAAAACCTAGAAGTGAATTCATAGGATTTCTTAAGCACATATTGATAAAAATATTTATCAATGGAAATTCGACAACTTTTCTGTAGTAATGACATCAGCACATATTGTAGCACTTCCTTTTGAGCCAGGTGCTGCTCTAAATACCTTATATAGTAGTAGCTCGAATTAATTTAAGTCTCAAAACAACCCTGTGAGGCCTATACTGACATATGAGGCATGAAAAGAGAATAATTTAGAATAAAATAGTGCTCATTTTAATATGTAAATCCTTGAGCACAACTATAGTAAAGACATAAAGAAACAGGTGTTTATACTTGTATCAAAAATCACTGCGAACGTCACAGCTTCGCATGTAGTCTGACGTCATCAGTGTTGTTATGACATGCAAGCATGTCATGTTGACAATTCAAAGATGGCAAGTGGCAATGCCATCAGCAATGAGCAGGTGGCGATGCCAAGGTGAAAACTCTTGGTAAATTTCTAAATGAAACGAAAACAACCCTCTCCTAATTTACCGAGCAGTTTGAGTCATGGAAAATTCACTGAATATTAACGTGTTCACATATACAGCAGAATTAAGTCCTAGGTTCAGATAAATTGATTATGTAAACAATTTATTACCTCCATCAGTGCCCCGTGGAATAGTTGAAAGTCATTCAAATGTCATGCTCTGTCCACTGCAAGTTATGTAGCACCCTTTGCCCCATACTCATTATCGTGACGACAATAAAAACAAGAAACAGCCCGTGAGTGTATAAAATGTACTTTAGGAGATTGTATAGTTGCTCAGTAGAACCACTGGTCAAGGGAGTCCTAGCCTTCAAAGGGTTTATAGTCCAATAAGAGATTGGCACGTAAAGAACTCAAATACAGGATGATAAATGAATTATATACATAGTCTTAAAGGGACCCATAGATAACAGAGAATAAGTTTACCTATGGAAGTCAGAGAAAGCCTCACCTGGAAGTCACCCTTGACCTGGGCCTTAAAGGCTGAGCACATGAGGCAGAAAATGGGAGGAGTGCGTTCTAGGCAGGGGGGACAATATATATAGTGGTGTGGGACGTAGTTAGGAAATTGAGAATAATTGGTATCACCAAAGATATGATAAGTGTTGGAGAATGAAATACATAACTGGAAAGTACCATAAATATCAAGGTAAGGACTTCTTATTAGAGGCAACAGAGAACTAAAAAAAAAAAGGAAGGGGGAATAAAAGCAAATGATTTGCATCTTTTTTCAAGAAGGGCAGTCTTGGGGGTTGTTTAGACTGAGGACTGAGCCAGTAATTGGTGCCACCCATTGAGACAGTAAGTCATGGTTTGACACCGCTAATAATTGCTTTGTCTAATCCATTCTGTGAATTACACAGGGGTAAAGAATGATACAAGGTGCTTTGTCTCCCCCCTCTGTATACAGTAATATGTGGCAGCTCTTGCTATTTGTGACACAAATGTAACATGACACGGCCTCTGCTGTGGGTGTCATCCTCATCTATTAACAGTAGCAGCATCTTCATTCTCTCGGATAAGATAATTTCCATAAAAATTATTTGACTTGATTTTTCCGTCCCTGTTTTTCTTTTTCCATCCTACCAAAACACTGCAGCATCCATTTCAGCTGGAGTGTACTTGCACCGTACTTATGAACTTCTATTTTATAATTAATTTCATAGAACAGCAAAAAATGTTCTAAACTTGACGCGCCACTGACTGCTTCCAACCCTTCACGTCCATTCAGCTCGTTGCTGTGACCAGAGTGCTCAGGAGCCTTTTGATGTGGCTGTCATCTTTGTCACTAAGGAATCAGAAAATCAAATAAAGTTAAGCTTACGAAGCGTTTTTTCTCTTCCTTAGTGAAGGTATCTTCAGAGATGCAGGGAAAAGCTGTGATTGTTCCAGTTATTGATGCTATTCCCTTCTACAAAATAGTGGAAGCTTCATCTCAAAGAATCTTTAAATGAAAGCAGACATGGAGGGGGGCGAAGGCAAAGGGAAATGACATTCTTGCAGAGGAAAATCTAGAGGAATTCTTGTTTTGTTTCTTTCCTTTTTTTTCTGTCCATTTCCCCCCAGTATAATAGAAACAATATTTTTTAAAGTGTGATTTCACTGTGGCTGGCCTAAAAAAATGAAACGGGACAACAGAATTAGGGAGAGGCATGCGTTAAACAATCAGGCGGGCCCTTCCCACTCACACAAAGCAGCAGACACTCAAGCCATTGCGTTTCTGGCTTGTTGGAACCTAATGTAATAGCGCCGCTGTATTTCCTAAAATAGCAAACATTCCAGCGTTACCATGGAGAGATCTGACGTGTAGGTTAAGGCAAGAATGTGCTCTAAAGGCTTGCTGCAGAGACTGAAAACCTGCGGGGATTAGTAGCTCAGGCAGCTCCAGGCAACTATATAAGGAGACTTTTTTTAGAGCAGCTTTTCTGTAACCCCTGCTTAAGCTGATGAATGTTGAAGCTGGAGACTCATTGACAAATCCTCTTCAACATCACTGTCTCCCAGACATAATAACCCTCACTGGTAACATGTGTTGGGAACAGGCCTTACCAGCTAAGGCAATCCTAGTTCTGACCCTTCAGAGCAGCAAAGGAATGGGGAAAATAAAGGGGCTTCCTTACATCTTCATTGCAAATATTTATTGAGCATTTACAATGCACAGAGTACTGGCATGTGAAAGAACAGGAACCGCAAATGTATAAGGTTTCATCTCTGCCTTCTAGAAATTACAATGTAATTGGAAGGTAAGGTCACTGATGGAAAAAAATACAGGGCAGTAGAGAAAAAAATCATCATGGGCTGGGGTGGGCGGCAAGGATTCTGATCTTTGAGGACTGAGTATGATTTTAATAAGAGATGAAAAGAAAAGGCATCAATTCATTCATCCATTCCGGGATTATTTACGTAGATCTAGGAACATAGTGTTCTAAGTACCTCAGAAGATAACAAGATAAGTAAGGCGTGTATGGTCCCTCTTAAAGAGCTTACCAGCTAATGGGGAGAAGGGAATATGGAGAAATGACACGCAGATTACTACAGGTACAAAAGTGCTTTGGAAATTCAAAGACGAGGAAGATGTCTTTTGAGTGGATGAAGAAAGGCAGCTTAAAGGAAACACTTGAAAGTTGGATAGGATCTTGACAGGTAGAGGTGGGAGCGATAGCGAATGTTCTCAGTAGGTAAGATGGAGAGATAGAAGTTCAGAGTAAGGAAGTAAGAATATATGTAGAGGGACTTACATTAGAGGCTAGAGAACAAGGGTAAGGCCAGAGTCAGAGGGCCTTCCATGGCAGGGTAAGAAGTCTGGGATTCATTGATAAGTCATTAGGTCTCCGGGTTACCTACGCAGGAAGTAATTTATCTGAGTTCTGCTCTAGAAAGAGTAATGATGGAAGAGGGGAGAGTAGAGGGGAAGGAGTTGAAGGAACTAATTGTTATAGAACATTACCCAATATATGAAGTCCTTAGAGGGGAACCGAGAATGGGAGTTTGGTGCTAAGGTAAAAGAGTGAAATAAAATTTTAAGATAAATAAACAGTTCATTCACTCACGCATTCATGTATGCCAGTCAGTGACTGTTTATTGAGTACCTACCATGGCTAGACTTTGGTGCTGTTACGGGAAAAATGGTAAGAAAGGCAGAGCCCTTCCCCTTAGGGAACTTACATTCCTAATAAGGGAGACAGATCAATGACCAAGTAATCAAACAAACAAAAAATTGCAAATTGTGATAAGTACACTGAAGAAAACAAAGAATAGGGATTAGCAACCTTTCTGTGTAAAAAGACAGATAGTAAATAGTTTAGACTTTGTATGACATACATAAACTGTCTGCCATTGTTGCATAGAAACAGCCATACACAGTACATAAAGCAATCAGCATGGCTGTGTTCCAATAAAACTTTATTTACAAAAACAGGTGGGGGGCTGGCTTTAGCCCACAGTTCATCATTTGCTGACCCCTAATAGAGAATTAGGAAGAAGGATGGGGGCATTATAGGTCAGGAGAGGATGGCAATCAAGAGTTCAGTCTTTCCTGTGGTGATTTTGAGATGTCTCTGACATATGCAGATACAAATAGGAAGTCGGCTACTGGAGAACTGAACTCAGAGAATTTTGGGATGTAGCTATAAATGGGAAGCTACTGGTCTAAAGATGAGAAAGGATGAGATGACATTGAAATAAAAAGAGGTGGAAAGTGTCTAGGACTGGGCCTCAATGAACACATACAAAAGGTTCGTAGTGGGTATGACTCAGTTCACAAATTCAGTTATACAGGAGACATCACATTTCTTTGCTTCCTTTAGGTCAGTTAATGTTACCCAGAATTCCTGTCCTAATCAGGCTAGAATTCAGTTTCATCCATTTGGTACTTCTTCCTCCCTGCTCTCTCAGTTATGTGAAGGTGAAGGTCCCTAGGTTTTACCAGGTGCCAAAGAGTCGAGGAAATTGCTCTGATCACTGGTCCACCGCTAGGCGCCGTACCCCGGCAAGCATGGTTCTACCATCCCTAACAGCTTGCTCTACCGGACTCTTTCATGGAGCCAGAACTCATAGACTTACAGTCCCGCCTCTCCAAGTCACCCATTGCCTTTTCCTGCCCTCTCCTCCCCCAGGTTTTGCTGCTTCCCAGGGCACTGACAGGAATGGAGGTGGGTCCTGGTTATTCTTTGACCCCCCCCCCCCCAACTCTGTGAGTGAAATCTCTCCTTCTCCTCTCTTACTGACCTCAAAGATAGTTCTCTCTCTCCTCTTCCCACTGGGACACCTGGCTTAATCTTCTCAGTGGATTTAGAATTTTATAAGTCAGGGAATGCATTTGACTTTGGTCTCTGCTCTTTGCTCTGTAAAAACTCTTGAGTCAATATAATGCTAAAGGGCCTGACCATCAGATTAGAAAAGAGGGAGGCAGGGGCACGCAGGTCACGAAACACATTTGTACCCCGAAATCTACCCTGTCGCCATTGGGTTGGGGAAGAGGTGTGAGATGAAGCTGAAAAACAGATGAGAATTGTTTTGTAGAGATAATGAAATTCCAGGCTAAGGGTTTTGGGCTTCACCCTACCGGTAGTGGACAATGATGGATCTTTACTATGAATGTTTTGGAACTGGTACACAGGATTTTTAGAGGCGTAAGCGTCTAAGGCTTCATGGCGTGGTTCAAGTTTTAGGTTTCAAAAACCTGAAATGGAATGTGAAAGTATGGTGAAGCGACATTTCTGAACAAGCTTGAAAACGATCCGGCCAGCCTTTTCTCTCACGCTGAACTCACTCCAGCTCTTAACGGTGTCGACCATCCCTCTCATTCTGGAAACTCGGCCCCTCTCCCACCTGTGCTTTGACTGCAGAAGCGTTCCACTTCGTTTTCTCGGGCACCTAAACTCTGCATATCTCAAATCAAGTTTTCCATCATCTTTTTGCAAATGAACTCCTTAACTCTCACATTTCTGCTTATTTAGACCATTTTTTTCTAACAGTCTTTCACACCGAAAATCTTATCTCCATCTTTAATCATTCTCTCTCTTTTATCCTCTGCATATGTATTACCGAGTCCTGCTGTTCATTCCTTCAAAAACGGTTCTCATATTTACCACTTTCTTTATATGTCTACAGTGGACCTTTGTTACCCGACACAGGAATAAATGCAGTGGCTTTTTAACAGGTCTTCCTATAATCATCCCAAAATCTCTGCCTGAAACTCTAACCCATCCTGTTGCCTAGCTAACTTCCTAAAATAAAGTTTTCATCATGCCTCTGCTCTGCTCAAGTCCATAACATTAAGTCCCAGTTCTTTTGCATTGGCCAAACACTAACCAGTTTCTAGTCGCCAAGGCCGATGTAACGCCACAGCACAGTGTCTAGCTTACAGCTCACCCTTCATACATGGTCTTTGAGCGGTTATAGAGAATAAGATGTATACAGTAGATAAACCTGGACATTCAAATGTCCCACAAAATCCCCAACATCTCTCTTTACCTACAGGCTAGCACTGTATTTAACTCAGCTCCCAAGACTTCTGATGATTCTATTTTCTTTTTCTGTACTCCCTTCTTCTGTTTCATCCATCCTAAGACCCATCTCAAGTGCCTCTCGCCCCCTTCAGCTACGTCAGCCCATACATACTAATTTCAACTTTTTCTGCACTGCTATTGAATTTAAGTCAATACCATTTAACTTACTAATCATTCTAATTGTAGCATGCACATTTTCTCCCCTTTCAATAAACAAAGCTGCCTGAAGACAGAAAAAAGACATAATGAGTTTGCATAAATTCTTGCTTACTGGCTGACTGATTTAACATGTACTTTAAATTTCACTTAAACTGCTATGGGTATTTAATAACTTAATTTGAAAGACTCTAATATTTACTATTTTAAGATAGATTCTGCTGATACCCGTATTACTGCAATGTGCAGTTGAACTGGAAATCTCTTGGTTTTAAAACAGTGTTTGGAAATGCTGTGTTAGTATTTAACGCAAAGCACGATTGCTTCCTAGCATCTTAAAGATTTCCGAGCAGCGCAGTGAAATAAATCATGGTTGTGGCTTGACTAACTGGCTTGACTTGATATTCTTGCATTTTTCTCGTCTCTCGGAATCACTTTTTTTCCTGGCATAATTTTTAGTAATTAGAACAGCCATTTCCAATATCACAACTAGAGCAATGAAACCTAACACAACTGGTTTGAGACATGGGGATTTTCCACATCTTTCTCTTGGAAACTCCCTCCTAGCCCAGTAATGGTTCTTAGAAACACTGCAATGAAGGGAACACAATACGAAAGTGGCTACGGTTCCAAGAGCTACTTCCTAGGGCCCCCAAATCTAGAGATCGAAATAGAGATAGTGCAAAAGATCCTGACCCTAGTAATACTTAGGAATCTTGTTCCAAATAGTGATACAGTTCTCTGAAGTCAGCAGTTTTCTAAGTAGTTCTTCACTGATGGGTTTTTTCATTTATCTGCAGAATTTCTGGTCTTTTGACTGATGCTTTACTGAATACAGTGGATGAGAGTTCTAATTCAGTGGTTCTCGAAGTGTGGTTCCCAGGCAGCAGCTACAGCATGATCTGGAAATCAGCAATACAAATACTTGAGTCCCGCTCCAGACCAGTTGCATCAAAAACGCTAGTAGGCAGGTCCTACTAGCAATCTGTTTTAACAAACCCTTTTAGATGAGGTTCAGAAATACTATCACGAAGTTGTTCGTGAAATTTAGCATTATTGTAACTGGAAAGTGTCCTGCTCTGGGGGACTCCAGGTGATTGCTGAGGCCGTTCCCCTTCCAGTCTGGTGTCTGCATGCCTCTCAAAGCCCAGAAAACTCTTTACATGGACGTTCACACCTGGAGGCCTCCTGGCCAGAGCATCTTCCCTTGTCTTTCTGTGCATCCCAAGTTTGATACCCAAGGGCGGGTGACTTACAACTGTGTAGTGTTGAATGAGACAGGGCGCCAACTGAAGCAGTGAAATTCTCAGCCCTAATTACGCCGAGGGCAGCACTCCCTGACACTCTGGACTCTTGGCTCAAAGAAGCTAGGTCTTTCGTTCTAGCGTTTGTCTACACTCCGCACCCCCCAAAATAAAAACTGCAGTTCACCTGAACCTGAAAGAGAATTCGGTGATGGTAATCTACTCTCAGGTGTCTACAATCTTGAAAAAGCCCATTTTCTCTTCTATTATCTTCAAAATCTTGGTTAACTAGCTGCATTGACGTGGTATTTCCTGGACTCTTTCTCATGTGACTTTGTGCCCTCTCTGGATTTCTTTTGTAAAAAAAAAGGGGGGCGGGGCGCTAATCATCCACGATTGCTAAACCCACCACCCACACCCAACATCGCAAGGGGATAAACACTTGTCCTCTTGTAGATACTCCCAAGAGCCAAAGGAGAGGTTGACCTGAGACTCTTTAACTCCGCCCTACCTGCCCCGTTCTGGTTTATCAACCCTTTGTCCTCGCCCGCCTCTGCAGCCCCAGGGCTTTTTAATCCAGGCTCGGGGACGTGGTAGGGAGCGGAGGTGGGGCTGCAGGCGGGAGGGAGGCGGCGCGCAGCGGTACCTAGCGGCGCTGCCAGGCTGTTCCATCCGGAGTACGTGGCACTACCCGTGGGGAGAGGGGGAGGGCGTTCGGCTTTCTCCTCCCCGTGCAGAGCCTCGGGACATGCTGCAGGGGCGGGGGGAGGATCCAAGAGCGAACTGCTGCGCTTTTTCAGTGAAATCTCAGCAGATGAAAGTGGCCTGGCAGTGGTCAGCGTACCCCCTCTCCCCATTGGGTGGGTGGAGGTACCCACTGTGAGTCAGTTCTGTGCTCCGCTGCCAGCAGCCGTGACCCGATTTGGAGCGTGTGGAGCGCCCTCGCCACCCCGCATGCGCAGAGCGGGGCGCGGCCTCCCGGACTACAGTTCCCAGAGGAACCTGCGGTGGCCGCGGGCGCCGAGCCGCTGACGCCATCTTGAAATCCGATCCTCGGTCCCCGAGCCTTTGCGTCAGCGACTGACGGCAGCTAGAGTACCGCGAGCCCAGCCTGCTGAAGGGGAGGACGTTGCGGACGCGGCGGCTGGCGGGAGGGACAGCAGGAGGCGACGGAGCAGGTTCGGAGTGCGGCCGGCGCTGCTGTCACTCAGCATCCCCCCGAGGCGTTTCTGCGCCCGCGCGCTCCCCGAGGGGCGGGGCTGACCACTGTGGTACCCGGAGCCCGCGCGCGGGTGGCAGAGGGGCGCCCCTGCACGGTGGGGACCCCACCGGGTTGTACTATGCCGTCCGGAGGCCACCGAGGCGGGAGGCGGAGCGCAGCCGAGCGCCAGTGAGTTAATACCGAGCAGCGGCAGCCGCCTCGGGGAAGCTCGGCCACCGCGGGGAGGGAAGATGAAGGAGATTTGCAGGATCTGTGCCCGGGAGCTGTGTGGAAACCAGAGGCGCTGGATCTTCCACACGGCGTCCAAGCTCAACCTCCAGGTTCTGCTTTCGCACGTCCTGGGCAAGGATGTCTCCCGCGATGGCAAAGCCGAGTTTGCTTGCAGCAAATGTGCTTTCATGCTCGATCGGATCTACAGATTCGACACTGTCATTGCCCGGATCGAAGCCCTTTCTATTGAGCGCTTGCAGAAGCTGCTGCTGGAGAAGGACCGCCTCAAGTTCTGCATTGCTAGCATGTATCGCAAGAATAACGATGACTCCGGCGCGGAGACCAAGGCGGGCAATGGGACAGTTGACATTTCCGGCTTACCCGATGTGAGGTACTCTGCGTTGCTCCAGGAAGATTTTGCCTATTCAGGCTTTGAGTGTTGGGTAGAAAATGAGGACCAGATTCAGGAGCTGCACAGCTGCCATGCTTCAGAAGGCCCTGGAACCCGACCCAGGAGATGCCGTGGTTGTGCAGCTTTGCGAGTTGCCGATTCTGACTATGAAGCCATTTGTAAAGTGCCTCGCAAGGTGGCCAGAAGTATCTCGTGTGGCCCTTCTTCCCGGTGGTCCACTAGCATTTGCACTGAGGAACCAGCGTTGTCTGAGGTTGGGCCGCCCGACTTACCAAACACGAAGGTACCCCCAGACGGAGAAAGCATGGAGGAAGGGACACCGGGATCCTCTGTGGAATCTTTGGACGCAAGTGTCCAGGCCAGCCCTCCACAACAAAAGGATGAGGACACAGAGAGAGGTGCAAAGGAGCTTGTAAAGTGTGACTGTTGTTCAGATGAACAGACAGCACAGCATATGTGTAACCACAAGCTGGAGCTGGCTCTTAGCATGATTAAAGGTCTTGATTATAAACCCATCCAGAGCCCCCGAGGGAGCAGGCTTCCCATTCCAGTGAAATCCAGCCCACCTGGAGCCAGGCCTGGCCCTATCATGGCAGATGGAGTGAGTTCCGGTTTCCTGAACAGGTCTTTGAAACCCCTTTACAAGACACCTGTCAGTTATCCCTTGGAGATTTCAGACCTGCAGGAGCTGTGGGATGATCTCTGTGAAGAGTATTTGCCACTTCGGGTCCAGGTATACAAGATGGCTACATAGTGCCTTTTCGATCATAGTTATCTGGCCTCAAGCTTGACACGATTCTGTCTAGGTGAAGGTTAATAATATTCTAGACTTAGGAAAATTAATCCTTGAGCCCATTTTTGTTGCACCTTTTGCTTGTGTCCCACTTAGTAAATGTGACTCACACTCAAATAATTTGCTTTACATAATCTTTGTGACGATATCTGTTGTCCTTCCATTAATTATTAAAAGTGCAGACCTTTTAAGACAAAAGGGTGAAGATTGCTAATTCACTTTTACCCTATGAAAAGACATAATCATTTCTGAGTAGAACTCTTCCCTCTTACCACCCCACCCCGTTTTTTGGTTTCTATTTTTAGATTCGTAGATGTTTTCTTCCATTCTGTAAGGGAGTTTTCCCTAGAGCATTAAACCTTTTATCCCCAGGTATGCCTCAAACTGATTAGAGCGGAGGGTAAAGGTTTGGGGAAAACCTATTAATTCACCAAAGTATTGTAACATCTGGGCAATATTTATACTAAATTAATATGTCATTTGAAGACTAACGAGGACTTGCTCATAAAAGAGACTTGGGAATTCAAGCGTTGTCATTTTTTTAAATGTTAAGACAAAAACTGTTCCCAGCTAGTTTGTCTACTGAGCTCCTTTAGAAGATGTTTGATATTAAAGTCTTCATCCATGATTGGGTGGTAGGAAAGTTTCATCTACTATACACTTTGAATTTCTTAATGAGTAGGATATGGCAGTTTATCTTAATGTGAGCTGTTATCCGCTCAACTGATTTTGTGCCACCCTTTTAAATTTAGCTATGCACAGGGACCTGGGAGATGCTATTTTGTTTCTACAGCAACAGTAAATGCTAGGTGCATGCAGTTAACTTTGTGAAACACCTGGCCTATTCTGCTTGATACAGATTCTTCAGTGATAACGTTACAAAGGCGGACAATCCAGAAGGCATTTTTGGAAAGCTGGATATGGTCAACATCATGCTAGAAATGTAGACCTTAATAACAAATGAAATTGTTGATTGTCAGTTGAAAGTTTTGAAAAGTATTTCTGTTATATATAAAATTAGCATTCAATAAGAACTTAAGCAGAAAATGGGAAGCATTTTTAAATTTACACAAAATCGTCAGAAACAGCATATATGAAAGCATTATGAAAAAGTTAAATGTGTTTTCATTCATATAAAATGTCAAATATTAGTGCGCCTGACGCTTGTGCACTTCTTTTCTTTTGCTTCCTTTTCTGTCGTGGAGCCTCACAGCTAAATTTGGGCTCTACAGTATTTGTGTGACCAGACAGAGATGTCACAAATTAAACATGGTGTTTTCATGTTGGAATCTAAAAGTAGTCTGGGCAGGGTGGGTGGGAAATAAGCTTTTTTTTTAAGCCCTCTAAAATCTGGCCGATATGTAGGAAGGAGAAGACTTAGAAAATTAAAGGCAAAAACAAAAGGAGTATTTTCTCCATATTTAATTAAAAATACTGTCTTTTGGTGCCCGCACTCAACAAATTTTGGAGCTGGAAAGGATTTTAAAGATCATCTCATGCAGGCCCTGTTTAGAGATATGGAAAGCTCATGGTTTAAATAACTTAGCCCAGGTACAGGCAAAGATCCCTAACCATTCTCAGCCAGGACCTTTCTATTTTATAAATTAAACCACATTGCCTGATACACAT